CTGGCTGCTGGCTACATACGGTAGCCCATGGCAACCCACTGCCACAGGGGCAGCAGCCTACGCCGTCGCTGGCGACTCATGGCAGCCCAGATCCAGGTTGAGCTGTTGTTCAGCATCTTAGCTGTGGAGGGCAGTGTCACTGGCCCTCATATGTGGGGTCCGAACTGGGGCTCTCTGGAGTCCCAAGCTATGAAACTAAAATGTTTTTATGGGCCCCTGAAAATATGGTGGTGCCTAAACACTGTGCCTGTTGTTCCTACTGGGTTAAGTCAGCCCGAGCTGCTGCAAACCTGGTGAGAGAAGATGGTTTAAATGTGGGTATAGAGATGGAAAGGGGTAGATGCAGATGCATTTTGGAAGTAGACTTGGTGATTGATTACACATAAGAGCCCAGGAGAGTGAGCTATCAAAGATGAATACCAAGTTTTTGGCATAAACAATTGGGTGATGCCATTTGTTTGGATGGCAAAGCCTAGAGTGGAGCAGGTTTGGAAAGAGTGTGAGGGCTCTGTTTTGGCCATATTAAGTTTGAAATAGCTACTAGTTCAGTGCTTCTCATATTTTAATATGCTTACATATCATCTGAGAAATTTGTTAAAAGCCAGATTTCAATTGGCAGGACTGGAGTGAGCCTGAGATTTTGTATTTCTTCTGGTTCAGATAATTAAAATACAATGATATCTGAGAATTAAGACAAAAAACATTGACCCAGTTACCATTGGAGACAGCGGATTTCAAAAAGCTCTATGAAAAGCCAAATAAGAGACATTCATCAGGGATAGGGAGAGACTTTCAGTTTCTAAGCATCTAATAAATGCAGGGTTATACCAAGCATTTAAAAAATTAGTTTGTGTAGTCCTTACAATGGCCCTCTAAGGTTAATATTATTAATCCCATTTAAAAATTATGACTCTGAGACTCAGAAACAATACCTTACCCAAGTGCACACAGCCAGCACATGGCAGAGCTGCAGATCCAAAGCTGTCTATAATGTCCATGTTCTTTCCAGTTTCCCAGAGACGTCTTAAAAAATAAAGAAAACTGTTAAAAATCACAAAATAAGTCTATAACAACCACTTTGTAGCATTTGTTCTGAAATTCGGAAGAAATACATGATGGTAGTTATCTAATGTTGTACAACAAATTTCCCTAAAACTTATTGGCATAAAACAACAAACATTTATTACCTCAGTTTCTGTGGGTAAGAAATTGGTTATTCAAAGTCACTTGCCAAGTACTGACATTTGCAGTGTCTCTTATATTCATATCCTCGTCTCCATTTTCCTATTATTCCCCTTGTCATTTCTCACCCTGACCACTGCATTAGTCTTCCTGCCTATAGTCTTTCCCTGAAGTCCATGCAATATGTAGCTACCAGATTTATTTTCCAAAAGCATAGGTCTGAACACATTCCCCTGCTGACGAACTTTCCATGACTGCATGTCCTCCGCAGACATTCAAGGCTGCGTATACTCCAGTCCCAAATTACTGATCCACACTTATTTCCTACTGTCCTCCCTTGTCTGCTATGTTCCAGCCATGTACACCTTGTGCTTTACTATCTTTGAGTCTTTTTTTGCCCTTTGCTCTTTCCTCTGCCTAGAATATTCTTTCCTCCTTCACTGCCAAATGGGTCAACAATACAATCTACCCTTCAAGGGCTCTTTAAACATCACCTTTTCTAGGAAGCTTTTTCTGAGCTTCTTTCCCTGAACTCCATCAGGACTGTGTCTGCACCTTCTTTTGGCATTTGTCACCTTCCTCCTTGATTAGCCTTCCCTCCTGGTCTGTCAATTGTTGATTATCACTGTGTTTTCCATGCATTAGCGTCTGGAACATTGTCTGGTGCCCAATATATATTTGTTGGTGTTAAAGTCAGACTTTCAAGGAATTTACATTCATTGAGGAGGTTTTCAAGAAGTTATATTGCATATTGACCTATATGCGTGGATTCATTTAATGTTCATCAAATTGGGAAACATAGCCTTTAAAAATAATGGCTTCTTTCACAGGAAGAAAGCAAAAAGATTTTCTCCTTTTGCCTATTTCAAATTGAAAAATATTTGGAAGCTAAGTTAAAATAAAGCAAACAAGTAAATGCATGTAAGTTTATATTTATTTTCAGGGTCTGAATTTACTAAGCTAATTGGCTTAATTTAGTATTTGAAGTTCTTATAATAATTTGGTTAAAATGGTCCAAATTTTCTTTTGAAAACCATCGTGTGTGTGTGTGTGTGTGTGTGTGTGTGTGTGTGTGTATATCACAAATTAAATAATTATACCTGGAAGTTTAAAAAATTTAAATCTCTACTATAAACAATAAATTTTAGTTAAATAAAACATTCCCTTGTCCCTTTCTGAGCCTTAGAATTCTAATCTGTAAAAGGGAGACATTTAACTAGATGATTTCAAAGATCTTTTTTGTCATTTTATGAATCTGTGATGCTAATTGTAGATATTATGATCTTCCTCTTAGTAAAGCTAGCCAAGATATTCTTCAGGTCACCAAGACTAAGCTAATTCATTAATAAAAGAATATGGTTTATATGCTAGCTACTTCTATTTTGTTCAGCTTGGGTAACTGAAATAATCAAATTATCATTGTTTTCTGCTTTATGTCTGCACAATCCATGCAAAATATATCGCTACTTTAAAGATGTGTGTTTCTCTAAAATAAAAGTTTTTTTTATCACGGAGTTTTGAATGTGTAAGGTTAATTTCAAATATATATCAAGATTATATAGAGGTTCTATTTTTGGTATGGTAAGTTCCCAGTGGATTGACCAATAAACTCCGGACAAAAATTAAAAAACAAAACAAGACCCACAACTATCCAAAAGCTATGGAGAGAGGCAAGCAGATTTTCGAGGGGAGCTGAAACTTGGAAGAACGTACTGATGTGTGGTCCAGGTGGCTGAAGAAAACTTCTGCCATATTTCTGCCATTTGGAAGGCATTGCCTAAGGCAGTCTGTAGTCTCAGGAAGTGTGTGTGTGTGTGTTGGGGTGGGGGGGAGTGCTGGGGGCAGAGGAGGGTCATGTAAAGAAGAGAGCCAGAGTTCTGCTGCAAACAGTTAAGCTGAGAAAAAAAAAAAAAAAGGACAGAAAATCAAACTGAGATCTGAGTTGCTGCCTACCTCAGGGGAGAGTTTGCAGTGTTAACCAATTTAATTGCTTGCTAAAATAAAAACACAAGCACCTTTGGAGGATGTATTAGTTTCCTGTTCCTATTGTAGCAAATTACCACAAATTTACTGGCTTAAGATAACACAAATGTATTCTCTTACAGCTCTGGCGGTCAGAAGTCTGAAATGGGTTTCACTGAGCTAAGTAAGGTCAAGGTGTAGGCAGAACTGCGTTCCTTCTGGAGGCTGTAGGGGAGAATCTGTTTCCTTGCCTTTTCCAGGTTCTATATACCGCACACATTCCTTGACTCATGGTGCCCTTCCTCCATTTTCAAAACCAGGAAGATTGGGTTGAATCCTTATATGCTGAACACTCCGACTCTCACTTTTCTTTTGCCTCCCGCTTTCACTTTTAAGGACTCCTGTGATACATTGGGCCCACCTGGATAATCTAGTATAATCGTCCAATTTTAAGGTCATCTGGTTAGCAATCTTAATTCCATCTGTAGCTTGAATTCCCCTTTGCAACGTAACATAGCATATTCACAGGTTCCAGGGATTTGGATGTGGACATCTTTGAGGGGGGCTATTATTCTGCCGACCACAGAGGGATATAACAGAATCTAGAGTTTCCACAACATAACATTTGCAATTTACAGGATGCAACCAAAATTATTCACATGTGAAGAATTTGGAAAACGTGAACTATTCTTAAGGAACAGACATTTAACGGAGGCCAACCCTGAGATGACTCAGATATTAAAATGATCAGACAAGGACTTTAATACAGCTGTTGTAACTGTACCCATTGAGCTAAGGTAAAGTATACTTGTAATGAATGAAAAGGTAGGAAATCTCAGCAGAGAAATAGGAAGTAAAAAAAAAACAACCAAGTGGAAATTTTAAAATTAAAGTAACTGGCACAAATTGCATGAGATGGAATTAAGAGTAAAATACAGATGCTAGGAAAGAGTCTCTGCACTTGAAGGTCAATTCATAGAAATGATCAACTCTGAAGAAGAGAGAGAAAAAAGTGAACTGAGTCTCAGGGTCCTGTGGACAATATCAAAAGATACAAGATGTTATTGAAGTCTCAAGAGGAGAGGAGAGGAGAGGAGAGGAGAGGAGAGGAGAGAGACGAGGTAGAACAATATTTGAAGAAATAATACCCCCAAACTGCCCACATTTGGTTAAGAATCAAGAAGCTCAGCAAACCCTAAACAGCATAAATATGAAGAAAACTGTATTGGCTTGTCATAGTCAAAATGCTGAAAACCAATGACAAGAAAATCTTGAAAGCATTCGGAAAAAAAGTGACATCACATACAGGGGAAAAATAATTTGAATGACCATGGGCTTACCATAAACTATGGAGGCCAGAAGACAGAGGAACAAGATTTTTAAAGTACCAGAAGAAAAACAAATTGCCATAAAGGGTAAACACCCAGGAATTCTATATCCAGGGAAAATATCATTTGGCAATAAAAAAGAACGAAGTACTGACACATGCTACAACATGGATAAACCTTGAAAACATTATGCTAAGAGAGAGAAGCCAGTCACAAAATACCATTTATTGCATAATTCCATTTATATGAAATGATCAGAATAGACAAATATATAGAGACAGAAAGTATACTAGTGACTGCCTAAGGCTGGAGGGATGGAAGGAATGGGGGATGGGGTTTCTTTTGAGGGTGATGAAAATTGTGACAATGATTGCACAACTCTATGAGCTTACTAAAATCCACTGACTTGTACACTTCAAATGGGTAAATTGTTTGGTATGTGAATTATATCTCAAAGCTGTTAAAAAAATGAAGGCAAAATAAACACATTTTCAGATTCAAGAAAACTAAGAGTTCATTGTCAGTGGGCCTACTTTACTATGAAAGCTAAGGGAAATTCTTCAAGGTGAGGGGAAATGATACCAGATGGAAATTCAGATCCTCAGGAAAGAATGGGAAACATCAGAAATAGTAAATTGCTGAGTCAATATAAAAGACTTTTCCCCATTTTAATTTCTTTAAAATACATCTGACTGTTAAAGCAAATATTAGAACATTATCTTGTGGAATTTACCATATAATGTATTTAGATGTAATGCATATATTACAAATATAGCATGAAGGATGATGGTTCTTCTATCTGAAGAGATACAATATTAACTTTAGGCTGTGTAAAGTTAAGGCTGCATATTCTAAGCCTTAGAACAAGTATTAAAGAATAATGCAAAGAAGTACAGCTAAAAATCAAATAGATAAATATATGTGGAATTCTAAAAGTTATTTAATCCAAAAGAAGACAGAAAAGGAAGAACAGATAATATGTATTGGGTTGTTGGAAAAGTCATCACGCATGTTTGCAACAGATGGCACTAGTTCATTTTTGGAAGTACGAGAGTCATTCGCATCTATGTTATTGCTATGTGATTTGACAACTGACGGCTCTAGCTTCATTCTAAAAAAAAATGAGCTATTTGGTTGAGTTTTGGAGATTTTACAACAAGTTGAAGATGGAAGACCAAACTGCAGGCCGGTCAAGTGGCTCAGTTGGTTAAGAGTGTGAGCTCTGAGCAACAGGGTCACTGGTTTGATTCCCACATGGGCCAGTGAGCTGCGCCTGACTGAGCTGCCGCTGAGCTGCCAACGGGCGGCCAGATGGCGACTGGACTTGGAGCTGAGCTAGCTGCGCCCTCCACAACTAAGATTTAAGGACAATGACTTGGCTGTTCCCTTTTCCCAATTCCCCAATAAAAATCTTAAAAAAAAAAAAGACCAAACTGTGCATTTTTGCCATATTTTACTGTTTTACTTCCATAAAGGGAAAAACGCTCATCAAACTTGTGAAAAGTTGCATAAAGTTTACAGTGACAATGCTCTACAAGAACATCAGTGCCAAAGATGGTTCACAAAATTCCGTGCTGGTGATTTTGATCTCAATGTCACTCCTGGTCAGGGAGGCCCTCCGAGGTTGATGACAACAAAATAAAGGCATTGATCGAGTCAAACCCACGTTACATGACACGAGAGGTTGCAGAAACGTTGAACATCCATCATTCAAGCGTTCACGACCACCTGAAGAAGCTGGGATACATAAGCAAGCTCGATATTTAGGTTCTGCATGAACTCAAAAAGTTCATTTGACGACACATATAAACAACTGCAATATGCTCATTAAATGTGAAGAAAACGATCCTTTTTTTAAAAAAAGAGATTTTATTGGGGAGTTGGGGGAGGGGAACAGCACTGGGGAATCAGGGAAGGGGAACAGACAAGTTGCTGTCCTTTTGTTCTTCAGTCTAGTTGTGGAGGACATAGCTTCACTGGCTCATGTTGGTATTATCATAGCGCTCTTCCTGGGTGAGACAGTCACTCGCCAGCCTTTGGACGGCTGCTCACAGCGGCTCACAGCAGCTCATCCAGCTGCCAGCTGCTCATGATAGCTCAAGGCAGCACACTGCAGCAGGGGCTGCAGCCTACGCCAGCACCGGGGACTCATGGCAGCCCAGTTCCAGGTGGAGGTGTTGTTCACTATCTTAGCTGTAAAGGGCACAGCATCACTGGCCCTCATTTGGGATCCGAACCAGGGCCCTGCTGCTCAGAGCTGGCGTCCCAAGCCAACTCTTAACCAGCGCGCCACTCGGCCGGCCCAAAATGATCCTTTTTTGAAGCAACTGATAACTGATGATGAGAAGTGGATTGTTTACAACAATGTGGTGCACAAACGGTCTTGGGCCTGACATGATGATTCGCCTCAAACGACATTGAAAGCAGATATTCATCAGAGGAAGGTTATGCTCTCAGTGTGGTGGGATTTTAAAGGTGTCATGTTTTTCGAGCTCCTACCAAGGAACGAAACAATCAATTTGAATGTGTACTGTCAGCAATTGGACAGTTTGAACGAATTCATCATACAGAAACGTCCAGAGCTTGTTAATTGTAAAAGAGTTGTGTTCCATCGTGACAACGTGAGACCACACACAAGTTTGATTACCCGTCAAAAATTACTGGAGCTTGGATGGGATGTGTTGCCACACCCACCATACTCGTCTGACCTTGCACCGTCAGACTTCCACTTGTTTCGCTCTCTTCAAAACTCCTTGCGTGGTATAATGTTCAATTCAGATGAGGCTGTAAATCAGCACCTTGTTCAGTTTTTCACAAATAAAGACAGGTCCT